AAATAGCAGAAAATGGGGGAAAATTTGTGGCAGGGAAAGATTGTTATGTCATTGTTGGAGTCATCTCTTTACCGGATATTGTCGTCTGTGTATTGACCCACAACTGACCTTCCTAAACCCCCCACACACCTGCTGGTTCCCACAGCTCACATAACTCCATCTATCCTTTTCCATTCTCCTCTTACTTTTTCTACTCCTTTATCTACTAATTCTTTCCGAGTTCCCCCTTCCACTTCCGCCTTTCTCGCGTCATCACTTCCACCTTCCCGTCTCTTGCTTGAAGTTCCCTTTCTACCCCTTTATTGATATAGTTCCCACATCGGGAAAGGAAGCCTGCTACTCTTATCGAAGTCTCTAGCCAAGGACTGACCTTCTTCAGATGCAGCCCACAATAGTCAACAGGCAACAACAGTCGACCCAGGAATTTGTCTACTGCTCAGTTAACAACAGCGTAAGGAATCATGCTCAAAGGGTTCTCTCTGTAGAGATATCTAACTAGGGTTTATGCGTTTGTGACCTGATTATGATGACTACTGCCCTAGCGATCACTCTGAGTTAACATCACCCAAACTGCTAAATTGACAATTAAATTGGTCAATAAACAAAAATCCTCCGGAAAAATATAATTAATCGTATCTTTCGTATTGATGTTTGATCCTTGTTACTAATTGTAATTAGGACTTGACATCAGCTTGCATACTGCGCAGTTACAAAACGAATCATGTTTAGTTTACCTAGCACTCTTGGATACAATGAAAACGGTAGCAATTCAGCCCAGTTGACAATTAACAAAGATAAACATGAAAGTGCCAACAACCGAGATGAAGACAAACTGGAGCTGACACAGTTGGACAGATAAGAGAGAGAGAGACTGACACACACACACAAACACTTATATGAAGATGAGAAGAGGATAAATTTAATGGTTACATACATACATAAACAGGTGAACATCACTAAGTGCGAAATTTTTCCGTCCATGCAGAATGGGTACTTGGAAATTGGCCAAACAGTTGGAGCCCTCCGCAGTCGGAGCCTAGAATTGGCATCATGTCGTCGAAGTCGGAAGACAAATGAAGTATGAGGAAGGAGTGTGGAGGAGACGGGGAAGTTGGGAAGAAGAGAGTGAGGAGAGAGTAGCGAGAGAACAAGCAATAATTTATCTCCGAAATGTTGTGTCTTTTGTGACATTAATACATAAAGTTATGTACGATTCTCTTAGACTAGTCAACGGAAGCTTCAGGTCTTCCTGTGTGCTAATTTATATTCTGGCGCATCTCGGGGCTCCAAGAATCACACTCATGGCTTTGTAATTATTTTTAAATATAGTGAATTTAACTAGTGAAGGGCATGGTGATCAAATTGAGATGTAATAAATATCACGTAGAGATAGTCAAGCATATTTAACAGTGATTCCAATATTCCGATCACTAAGATTTTTCATAGGGGGGTTTAAGTTTATTTTCCAAGCAATGAAAGAAGTACCATACAATGCCACTGTCCATGTCTCCTCCTAGGGATTTCCGTTGTCCACATGTTTAAATGCCTTGAATATTGACGACAGGACCATTAGTTCCCCCGTGGAAGGATATTGTCAAGGAGATAATGAGACCACAGTCAACGCTTCGAGTGTAGAATGAAAATAAAACTCGAGCTTGTAGTCAAGTTTTCATATTTGCAACAATATAAATGTCAAATGCAGATGAGAGGCTTGTCAGCTAGATTACGTATTATCACATTAATTTATGCATAAAAACATTAAAAAATTGTGTGGCTATGTAATTTAGCCTGAGGTGTACCCCAGCTGAAAATTTACATATCGAAAGGCTAGTCGAGAACAGGGCCGCAGGGACGTTAAAGCCCCCGAAATCAGCGTAAGTTAACAGTCTATTATTGTACCCGTTTAAGAGGAGTGAGGCTGCATCTCTTGAGCCTCGCCACGGATCTTTTGAATGCTAAGAAGAGGCTTATCCACCATTAGTTCTACTTTGCTCTGTCAAGAGCAATTTAGAGGTCAATAAATGCTACATGAGAGCTCTGGCTGTCTCAACAAACACTCAATCAATCATTTGAGTAGTTCTTTTGGAAAGAAAGCCACATCGCACACGAACAAGTTAATTGTTAAAAGGAGTCATAACCTGCCGAATATAATTCACAAGAACGTGGTCCCGTACAAACTGACAGAGACGCGGTCCTGTACAAACTGACAGAGACACATGTGTGATCGAGGACTAGCCAGTGCAGGGTGTAGCCTCCGGCCAGATTGGGAATGAATCTGATGGCTTGTAGGATAGGTCGAGGCTTGGAATTTGGTCTGTTTTTCAAATTTGAGGTTAAAAAAGGAGAAAAGATAGTAATAAGGGTGGGGGAAAGGTTGTGAGAAACAACGAGAGGCGATAAAAATAGTGAGGAAAGTATCAGTTTCTCCAAGTCACCACCTTTGAGAAAAGGACAAACATTCCGGCCCGTTCTCCTGTTTTAATAATACTTTCTAACTACGCAGACCTTCTCTACGTATATTGGTGTACTGGATAATTAGTAGAATTTGGTACTATTCGCTTTATAAGAGACCGGAAAAATTACAGCTGAAAATATATCTTAAATATTCCTACAGCCTAGTAGACAGTACATATATGTATTACAAATAGCGTGTATTAGGCTTCAGATGTTTAGGTTAGGTTTTTATGGGCAACATAAATACAAAGCCTTTTTCCGGTCTGTCTCCCCAAAAAAGTATCAAAAGTGCCAAATTCTACTTTCTAATTGTCCATTACGTCAGTACATCGTTACTATAAGTACTGTCTAAACAGGAGGTTAGGCTGACTATTCTGTATCAAGAACTGCCACTTGAACTGCATCAAGAACTGCTTGTCACCACTAAAGTAGGAGAGAATTAGGGATAACGCAGTAGTGAACTTACCTTGTAGGATAACACGTGTCCGCACCTGTGCACTGTTATCTGCAGCTGTGTCCAGTTACATGAAGCAGCGTTTCCGTCATACACACTTGTTGCCTGTGCCAACACCCAGCCACCAGGACTGCTATCCAGCTGACTCCTCGGGTTATGTGTACACGAGGAGCCAGAGACAGTAGCAATTAACTGCTTCACTGTTGTGAGTGAGTTTCTGGTTCAGCGCCCGTCCATAGACTAGGCAACCCGTTCTCGAATACAAAGATCCAAGCTCTTTAATCCAGCCGCCAAACCTCCTGTTTATGAATGAAAAGCGGTTTACACACGACTCACAACTGATAACGTCCGAACACTTCCGGAACAAGTGCTTCGCTCACGTCCTCTGTTCGAACCACAATTCTATAAATGCGTCACAAACGAACTTATAAATACAAATAATTACCAACAGAACCTAAACACCTAACCTAACCTACGCCAAGCTATACATACAATTGTTATGTATAAAAAATATTAAATTATATATGAGAACAAACAAATTTTTAATGTATGTTAAAATTGATGAATGCGTCTGGAGAGGACGGCCGCTGCTTTAAACACCCTGGTGTGAGAACGGGTTGGACTAGGCTAGTCCAAGTGGCGGCCAGACCTAACGGTTCATTTATTTCTTTTAACGTATTGTGTATTAAAAATCGGTGTTTTGCCTATTAAAATTAATATTATTAAATATTTAAAACCTAGAAGGGGTACCACCTCTGATGCAAGTGTAGGGACCCATAGCCTCGGAGAAGAAAATAAAGAGTACTCAGAGAAGACCTTGTGGATCCTCACTGAACACTTTGATATTTTCTTCTCCTACCACCCCTATTCTTTTGGTATGTGTGTATATATATAACTTTATTTGAAAATTTCATTAAAATTTATTCATTTACTAAATATTATATGTTGGAAATTATTTGCATGTAGTACGTGGATGAAGCATTTAGATGTGAGATTCGAATAAAGTCAGCAAATTACTGTACGAGAAAAACTCGAACGTCATCAGTTGTAAGTCGAGTGTAAAGTGTGTTTCATCAGCAAGTCCTCATCAACAAAGGCCAAATGCTTGTTAATCCATCCGCCAAACCCCGTTAATGAATGAAAAATGATTTACACACGACACAAAACTGATGATGTTCGAACATTTCTTTGCTGACAATCTGTTAATATCGCATTAACATCCACGTACTTTAAATGCAAATAATTGCCAACAGAACCTAAGTGCCTAATTTATGGCTAACTATACATAGAACTCTAATATACAATAATATTAATTTATGAGAAAAGTTAAATTTTTAATACAATTTGTTAAAATTAACGAATGCGTTATACACAGAATTCACAATAGCGTGATGCATCAATGAACAAATCCACAAGAGCAGTGACGAGGATTCGAACCTACGTCCACCCTGTGGATCCCACAGGATCCATGTAAGTTCAGTAGAACTTCTGATTTCAATTCTTTTTGACCATGTCGTAGCTCAGTCGATTAAGGCAGCGTCTGGGATGCTCTCAGTCGTAGGTTCGAATCCTCGTCATGGCCCTTGTGGATTTGTTCATTGACGAATGCATCTTGGAGGCGGGGGGGTGGGAGGGGCATCTGCCGCTTAAGCGAGCCTAGCCTGAGGGCAGGTTCTTTTAAATTTATAAAGGATGAGGTGGCATCTGCATCAACGTTTGTTGTTGTTAAAGATTCGCTACCTGGAACAAAAAGTTCCACGTAACACGGGCTATGGTGAGCCCATAGATAGTTATTAACGTGCATTTGGCCAGTGTATATAAGGACTGACTGCTGAGTTAGTCTTGTCGTTACGGTTACCTTTATTCTTATGTTATAATACCGTCTGTGACACTTCAAAACCTGTGATCTCACATTAATACGAACTGCATCTTTGATTACAAAATTCTCATTTACCACAGATAGCCACTTTAATGTTCTTAATTGCATATTGCAACAACCTTATTTCAAGGGGAATTTGATTAGCTGGGAATTCCAAGAAACAAAGTCTTCTGGAGAGTACTAAGGGGTTGTTGAGAATTAAACACCTTCAGATATAAAACTATTTACTGCTGAACACAAACAATATAAAATATCTATACCATCTTTACGCAAAAATGTCACGAGAAAACTTTAAAAATACTTCCTATACAAAAATCGCTTTAAGGCTAACAATGCTAGTCGTTCTAAGCCTCTTAACAAATGCATCGTTGACATTAACAAATGCATCGTTCATATTAACAAATGCATCGTTCATATTAACAAATGCATCGTTCACATTATCAAATGCATCGTTCATATTAACAAATGCATCGTTCACATTATCAAATGCATCGTTCACATTAACAAATGCATCGTTCATATTAACAAATGCATCGTTCACATTATCAAATGCATCGTTCATATTAACAAATGCATCGTTCACATTACCAAATGTATAGTTCACATTACAAATGCATCGTTCACATTAACAAATGCATCGTTCATATTACCAAATGTATAGTTCACATTACAAATGCATCGTTTACATTAACAAATGCATCTTTCTCATTAGCATTTTCTTACATGCTACAAAAATATGTCTAGGCTGCGACCAACATCTTTTCTAAATACTATGTAACTTTCACTATCACGGCTACCGTAAGAGCCTAGGGGTCCGTTATTGGCCGCTACCATAAAAGCAATGGTTATTACCCCAGGGGGCGGTAATCCCGCCACAGAACACCTCTGTGTAAACCCCATGCAACAGGGCCAATACAAACTCTTTCTCAGGGGTATTGACCCATAAATCACAGCACATATGTTTGATACATGTGACTATCCCGGGCAGTATGTAATTACTGCTCATATATGCACTTTATCTTGTGACTGTCGCGGAGTACTGACCAATAATAACTCACCTTCTCTTTACATGTGCACTTGACGCTAGGTACTGACCATTACAATGCGTCTCTCAAAAGGGCACTGACCAGTCACATGCGTCCGTTAAAGGGCGACGACCAATCATCACGCATGAGGAACACTAGAGCCTCTGCTCCTTTGTACCTAAGCCGGTCACGGGACAATCAGCACAGATCGGATTTCAAACGTTATTTCACAAAACCATCCCTCAGAGACTAGTATAAGTCAGGATTGCAAGAAATATGGACACCGGAGCACACACCAAGCTGAGTGTATACATGGTCTGTGCAATAATAACCATGAGAGGTAATTGACATTTGACAAGCCGCCGGCTCCCTGTCCCTGTCAATGCCGCTAATGGTAATGGCCCTCGGGTAAAAATATAACAGGTAAAAATTACAGTTGAATATTATAAAATACGTGATGTAATAGTCCATATAAACTTAATATAAAAAATTTAATTAAAAAAATATAATAAAAACTTTAACACAAATGTAATTGACTCGAGCACCAGGCAGCGGCGTTGTCTTGCCGTTCAATGTAAGACAATGTTTAGTACTGAGCTTCTAGTGTGAAGCTTACACTGATGATGTGTAACTTGTACTTTATGCCATCTAAAGCAACTATGAAGCCGTCATTGGTTAGGGACACAAACAAAACTTTTAAAATTATTCCTGTGCTTGGTCAGGGCCTTGTATGACGCACTAGCCTTTATCCGACCTCGACTGTGACTGGTCAGAGCCTTATATGACGCATTAGCCTTTATCAGACTTCGGCTGTGATTGGCCAACGTCTTGTGGAGGCTAATTACCCTTCATACGACCTTGATTGTAGATTTGTCAGTAACCTAGCCAAAAGTGAATCTCCTTATAATCGTTGATTGGCTGTGTACTAACTAGAATGGTGCTACAGAGGGGGACCGACACGGATGCTAAATGACAGTGGAATGTATTTATGGTAACCCCGGGCGCTAGGCTTCCCTCTCCCATTGTGCTTATGATACCAGCCTGAGCTTCCGGCGTAAGTATACAAACATCTCAAAATATCATTCAACACAGTTTGAGAAGTCCGAATTTTATAAGATACCATCGAAAAAAATCCTGTAAAAATATGAGAGGGTAAAAAATTTATGTTAGGATTAAAAACAATTATTTTATATAAAACAGCTAATATAAATTATTGATAGATCGTTTACCTGGGAAGAGAAGTGTTGTGGAGGGGGACGGGTTAGTCAGGTAGGACTATCAGGGTAGAGTAGACTCAGACAGGATAGGTACATGCTGGGGTAGCCTAAGACAGGACAGGTACAAGCTGGGTTAGAATCAGTCAAGACATGTACAGGCTAGGGTAGACTAAGACAGGACAGGTACAAGCTGAGTAAGAATCAGTCAAGACATGTACAGGCTAGGGTAGACTAAGACAGGACAGATACAGGCTGGGTTAGAATCAGTCAGGACAGAAACAGGCTGGGTTAGAATCAGTCAGGACAGAAACAGGCCGGAGTAGAATAAGATAAAATAGGTACAGGCTGAAAGCTGGAGAGGTATTATGGCCGATATCACAAAATCACATAATTAATTTTCCATAACCAGAAAAAGTCTTACCCACCGGCACCATAGCCCTGTAGGTCTCCATGACTACGAAGTTATGGAACACAACGCTCATGTTCTTCCCAGGTTCCTTTCAGTTTCAGGAGAATGACATCATCGACCTATGTTGCCACCTCACAAGAATGTGTGACTTCGGCCACTGCCGTCAATCATTACGCAAGAAGCAAAGAATTGGTAATGGCGATTTGAAAAAGGTTATTAATCCTTACACTGAAACAATCTTGGTAACCCTTACACTGCTACAATCGTTATCTGCAATTTCCTACTGTGCTCCAAACTATTTTAAGTCATGACCCATTGACATAGTACTTTTAAATAGCTGCGCAGTTTAAGGGTTAAGAGCTATTAGGAAATCTGATTGTCTATGATGTGTTTAGTTGGGTTCTTTACAAGGCATATTACTAATATTAAAGGGAAGTTAGCGACGACAGTATTAGTAATTTAAGGAGATCAAGGGTGCAAAAGTCACGGACGCTTCAGATGATCACCAGCGTCTGAAGATGGTCATGATGATCTAAATCTGCTCACTAAGACTTAAAAGCTGTAGGAGAAAGTGGGAGGGGAGGACGGAAAGAAAAAGAAGGAAGAGGAAGCGACGTACAATGAACATAACTGACTCGAGCAATGGTGGTACCAACAACAAACTCACACCCACCTTGAACATGCTAGCTAAGGGTCCATTAGAAACAATATTTATATATGTAAACATTATACATTTTTACAAAATCAAAACATTCAATATGCCTTAGAATTATTATACATTATACAGAGAGATCTACTGAGAAAAATGCTTGGCCATAGACTTATGGACAAGCTACACAGTGGAAAGTTACACTAACGGGCCCACAGTGTACGCAGTCAATTGTCTTAAAACAAAGCTGCATCTCACGAAGAAGATAAATACACCTGTCCACACGTCTCTGTGTGGGAGAAAGTTTGAGAGTTTGCTACAATCGTAGACTATGTGGTGAAATATACCAATACTTAAGTCCTTTTAACACCCCCAACACTTCGGTGGGTGTTAATAGAACCCAAGCCCAGTACGAAACCAAAAACTGAGTATTATGAGAATATTGGATTTTCCAGCACCTCGCTCATTAGGCTTCCATAAGCTAGTGACGCTTATATTGGCGTTGTCACACAAAAAAAACTAGAGCTGTAAAACCAGATTTAAATGATAATTGATCCGAATAATCAAGAAGAGGAGGGAGGGAAATTTTCATCAAGAGAAAGCGCAAAGCCATTACGATTATATTTAGCACTTGGAAGGGATCAGGATAAGGATTTGAAATGGGGCGGGGAAAAGAAATAGTGCCCAACCACTTGGACGGTCGGGGATTAAACGCCGACCTGCATGATGCGAGGCTGTCGCTCTACCCTCCAGCCCAAGTGGTTGGGCACCAAGAGGGGGGAAATAATTATTAAATGCTTCTGTATGATTTATGATTTTACAAACCGAAACATAATTTTTCCTACCAGCTGAGCAGCGTATCTGTAATCTGATTTTCGACTTTGGAGAAAGTTTAGTGTCATTATTCTGATAACCGATTTATAATAAAGTTTAAATAATAAATTATTTCAGTTAACTAATGTACCATTTAAGTAAAATATTAAAGGTTTATTATTTATTGAATATCCTTATTAAGCTTGGGGTAACATTTCAAAGTCACCCACGTTTAATTTTGTCATGTGACGTGTTCTAGATTTGAACAAATATAAGAAAAGCACTTGTTTGATTCCAGCTTGATGGGGTTCTGGGAGTTCTTCAACTCCCCAAGCCCGGCCCGAGGCCAGGCTTGATTTGTGAGAGTTTGGTCCACCAGGCTGTTGCTTGCAGCGGCCCGCTCACATACCCACCACAGCCTGGTTGGTCCGGCACTCCTTGGAGAAAATGGTCTAGTTTTCTCTTGAAGATGTACACGGTTGTTCCGGCAATATTTCTTATGCTCGCTGGGAGGATGTTTCAAATGCTTCCTCGGCCGGTCTTTAACATCGTCTTAAGACTCTATAGTTTGAACAAAGAAAACAGCATACAAATAAGATATAATCTTAGCCGGGATTCACCAAGCTTAAGAGCTTACTTTCGAAACATGTACATCTTTCTTCAACCATCACGGCATAAGACTACTTTTATTAAATCTTTTTTACGAACTTCAAACTTTCTCACACAGGATTATTTTTGTTATATACGAATCCGTAGTGCGGAGGGTCTCAGAGACCGTTCAATCAACGTAATCAAAACTGACATAATAGAGGAAGGATGTACAGATATCGTAAATGTAACGTAAGTGTTCGATTCATCTTGGCCCTAATCTAAAGAGGCAGCATTTATTGCTTATTTTTTTTTAAGAATCTTACAAATAATTTTTGTTAGAATCTTAAAAATAACACTTAATATACATTGCACGGAATAAAAATAATATAATGGGCGCCCTGACAACATGAACTTAATAATTCATCACAGAAGATTTTGGTAATTAATGTTTGCAATAAATGAACACTTATGAAAATATGGCAAATGGCAAAATAGCGCTAAGATAATGCAATGCACAAAATACAGATCATTAGCTCTGATATGCTTGAACGATATGTTGATACATGGTGTTGATCAACATGCAGACATGTTGATACATGGTGTTGATCAACATGCAGACATGTTGGCTCATGGTACTGATCAACATGTTGATCAGGTAGAGAATACCTGTACGTTGATCAAGTGGGAGGAAATAGAGGATAAAACAGTGTAGAGATAGCTATTATAGGCCGCGTGTGGTAGTTAGCGCCTTGAGGCTGAGGAGTAGTTTCACAGACGTGTCTCCCGAGACGCTGTTGAAGGCGTGCCACAGACGCAACAAAAGCGAGACCATGAAAGGAATATATATATATGGCGTCCCCGCCGGACCAACATGAGCCTACGTCACAGGGGAAGTGCTGTGCTCACTTCAGGTTAATGAATGCTTTATAACCGGTCTAGTTGCATCGGGAGTAAGACAGGTTAATGGGGGATGGCTGGGTTGGTTGGTAAAGGAGCAGTATGAATGTCGGCTAATGAGCGCAAGGTGGACAGGAAGCCACGTTGGACAGAATCCAATGGAATCCTGAAACGCAGGTGCTGTGCCCAGAGGGGGTCCTGAGCGGTACAAGACCGTTGTTCACTACTGAGCATCCTCCGCGTCAGCTAGCCTCGTTCCTTCCATCTTGGATAATGATCAGTACAAAAATAACAACGTTTTCTACAATGCTTTTCCTACGGCATTGGAAAGCATTCTACAATGCTTTTCCTACGGCTTCACCAGGGCATTAGCGCCCTGGTGAGGCCACTCTTGGCCAGGCCGACACCAGAGCGCAACTCCATAGTCTCCTGAGACTGATGGATGCCTACTACTATATCACAATTTACAGGCCACTTATCTCTGGGATAATGACATGCTAGTCAACTAGTGTTTTCAGGGAAGATAACTCGATATGATCTCGCTATTAAAAGTGAGCTGTTGAAAGGCTTCTGAGGGAATACCTGGCACTGGTGCCAAATGGATCAGCCAGCGTACCGCTAATGGTGAAGATGGAGCATCGGGGAGCCTTCGGGTAGACGGAGTTGGCTCTGTGGTGGTCGGCCTCGGGATCAGGGAGAGTGGAGTGGTACTCAGACTGTTCCCCACGGAGGCTAGGATAAGTCGCGTCTGTATCAGTCGAGACTGGAGGCTGGAACGTGGGACTGGAGGTGTCGGTGGCAGAGTAACCATTAGAGTCGCTGTTGACGGCCAAATATTGGGTCGAAGACTCTTCATAACGACTCCAGGAGTCGAAGTTTGGAGATTCAAGACGATCACAGGAGGAATTGAGCTGGTATGGTGAGGGCATTTCTGTGAGAGATGACGAGCTCATCTCGTCCTCGAAGCATCTCGACTCCGGAATAGTGGAGGACGACGTGTAGTTACCGTGCACGTCAGTCTCCCGTCGACCGGAGCGCAGTATGGCGTTGAGTCGTATCTGAAGTTCATCGCCGACGGTGGTGCGGGTGTCAAGCCTCGTGCTGGGGGACGAGATGCCTCTGAGGGCGAGGCCTTCCTCGCGAGACCTGACGAAGGAGTGAGAGGCAGCCAGGTTCTCCTCGACCCTCTTGGGACAGCGCAGGAAGATGGGTTCAACGGACTTCATCTGGGAAGATGGCGGCGTCGCCTGAGTTGCCACGTCACTCCCGGGCCCCATGGCACTCAACTCCTCGTCCTCGGCACTTGGAGAGCCAAGTTGGCACTCACTCCTCCCTCCTTCCTTCACCTCGCACGTAGAGGAGGTGGAGGACGGCGAGGAGAACAAGGAAGAGGGCGAAGAAGAGGGAGAGGAGGCCACAGAGGGAGAAGCATCCATGGCGGGAACATCTGCGAGGCCGCCATTGTTGTTGGCGGCCGTAATGATGGCCACCTTGGACACCGACGACGACGACGATGACGACGAGGACGAGGAAGAACTGGAGGAGGAAGAGCGCGTCCGGTCATCACGCAGGGACACCGACAGCCTCTGGCGTGACACACGGGCTCTGGGGAGAAGAATAGTTATGGCAATTATCTCGCCTCACACAGCTCAGGTCTATCACTAACGTCCTGTTAAACACCAAAGAGAACACGGACATTATGAGTGCGTGTTTCTTTCTCTCTCATTTCGTGTTCATGCAAGTTTGTGTTCGTTGCTGTGTTCTTGTCCTTATACTACTGGAAGACATGTAAAACAAAAAAACTAGTTAGCATTTAGGTGCGATTATGCAAATCAGATTTAACCCAGTACACGGCTCCATTTTGGGAAGGAAATCTCCCCCTGAAACAAAATACATCAATCCCTAAGCAACATCGTATCATCCCTCCCTCCGCCCCTCATGATGTTTACATACGGGATTCTCGGAAGTAATCCACTGAAAGCTCATTACCCTTAGCATATGAAGCCGCTAATCTCCGAAGCTTTGACCAAAGTTATGGCAGGAAGCGCGCGCGCTTGGTATCCAGGGCACCGCGCGTGCGCGCACTTTGTTCCGAGGCGGAGGTTCTTAAAG